TGGAATATCTAGCGAACGAGAAGCAATTTCTGACTGAAAATTCGAAAGAAGTATCAGGAGAACATGAGACTCGAGGAGGTGGCACGGCGGAGCCGGCCGATGAGCGGTTCTCCTGATACCGAGGTAATGCCAAAATAATTGAGCTGCAATGTCTAGCGAACGGGAAGCAATTTCTGACTGAAAATTCGAAAGAAGTATAAGGAGAGCATGAGAGTCGAAGAGGTAGCAAGCTTTTGTGCGGTTCTTTTAAGAAAGAAGTTTTTTCAATTCTTCTCTTTAAGCATGTACCGTGTTGGTCAGCCCTAGGATATGTGACGAAACTAATTTACAGTGTTGTTCTTATCGGTCTTGCTCTCTTTGTCTACTGCGCTTATATGCCTGTCCTTGTCGTACGCTGTTGCTTTCCTTGTTTACCGTACAGATGTGGCCTCTCTCGTCGCACACTGTTGCTCTCCTTGTTTACCGGGCTGATTTATCTGTCCTTGTCGCACGCTGTTGCTCTCCTTGTCATATGACGCTTGACAAGGTAAGCAACAGTGTGCGAAAAAGATAACCTTCGATCTATTGAAGAAAAAATTCAACTTTCTACACACACGTTTTACCAGGACAAAACGTACATGGAATGAAAGCGGAGAGCCTAATTTTAGGGAGGCATATAGAAAAGTTCGCAAATTATTTCTCATAATTTGAGTTTTTTTCGTAATTATTGCTGTCACAAAATGGACATTGTGGCGCCATCTGGCGATAGCTCAGTGGTACTAATTATTTATAAAAATACTTATTTTTGCATTTTACGAGTTAAATGAGGTATGAGAGAAAAGCTAAGGATCTAATTAGAGTAATACAATGGCCAAAATTCACATTTCATTTCGCTAAATTAGGTTTTTTCGCAAATGAATATTTCTCTGTTTTACGGGGTAAGAAAGCGCCGCGTTGTGGCAAACTGGTGGAACTAAACGCCCTCTCTCAATATTAAAAAATATAATTAATTTTAATTTTTCACGTCACAAATTTGCACTCCACGAGCATGTACTTCAAAAATAATGCTATCAACTATGTTCGCAAATAAATATGAATCTAATATTCACTATAGTTTGCGCGAAATTATGCGCTCGCTACAGGCACTACGGCTAACGTAAATGCAATTGAAACATTATTTATGTACGTAGGCTATACTTAAACAAAACATAGAAAGCAAGCTAAGGGTCTCTTATATTGAATACGCAACCATAGGAGTTCACAAATGATTCCTCTTAATTAATTTCTTCTCGCTATTTGTGGAAAAACTGTCATCTGCCTTTGGATACGACGGTGGCGCCATTTATTGGCAACTCGGTGGTACTAAAAATTGAATTTTTTATATTTAGTACCACCAGGTTGCCAATAGATGGCGCCACGGTCCGACTTAACCTGACGTTACTATTTTTCCACAAATTACAAGAAGAAATTAATTAATAGGAATCATTTGTGAACTGTTATGGTTGCGTCTTCGATTTTAGAGACCCTAAGCTTGCATTTTACATTTTGTTTAAGTATAGTTTACGTATGTAAGGAATGTTTCAACTTCGTTTACGTTAGGGATAGTGCCAGTAGTGAGCGCGTAATTTCGCGAAAACTATAGTGTATATTAGATTCAGATTTATTTGCAAACGTAGCTGATAATATTATCTTTGAAATATGTGCTCGTGGGGTGCAAATTAGTAGCGTGAAAAATTAAAATTAATTATTCCCTATATATGGTTACAGAGCGTTTAGTTCCACCCGTCTGCCTCTACGCGGCGCTAGTGTTTGTTACCCTGTAGTAATTATGTTAATAATTTAAATTTATATCACAATACTATAAATAAATAATAACTCCGTTATTAATTTTAGTTGTTTATATAAAAATATTATCAATATCACAAAGTATATAATTACTAATAATTTAATGAAGACTACATAATGGAAGTTAAATAACGAAATAACGAATGAAGAATTTCTACTATGGCTACAATATATATGAGCGTCAGTAAACATTCCCATGTGATAATAAAATTAATAGCTATTTTTAAATATTCTATTGTTTATATTAAATACACATCTCGAACGATTTAATGAACATAGATGTCGTTGATCTAAATTCTTCGAAGTAGTGGTCACTACACCCCTTAAAACAGAGAAATTTTCATTTGCAAAAAAATCTATTTTAGAGAAATGAATTGTGAACTTTTGTGATTGTATTATCCTAATTAGATCCTTAGCTTTCTTTTCATATCTCGTTTGACCCGTAAAATGCAGAAATAAGTATTTTTATGTATAATTAGTAGCCCTGAGTTATTGCTAGATGGCTCCATCATGTCCATTTTGTGAAACCACACTAATTACGAAAAAAACCTAATTATGAGGAATAATTTGCGAACTTTTTTATATGCCTCCTTAAAATTAGGCTCCCTGCTTTCATTTTATGTGCGTTTTGTTCTGGAGAAACGTGTGTGTAGAAAGTTGAATTTTTTTTCAATAGATCGGTGGTTGCCTCGCACACTGTAGCTTTCCTTGTCTAGCGTTATTAGACAAGGAGAGCACTAGCGTTCGACAGACATATAGTCGCGGTAGACAAGGAGAGCAACTACGTGTGAAAAGGACAGAGATATTGCCGCGGTAGACATGGAGAGTAACAACGTGCGAAAAGGACAGACATATCACGCGGTAGACAAGGAGAGCTACAGCGACAAGGACAGACATATTCGCGCGGTAGACAAGAAGAATGATAATGTGCGATAAGAACAATAATATAAATCAGTTCCACCGTTTTGCCGCTACGCGACGCTAATATTTTAATGTTCCAACGGGTAGCACATTCAGTCTTTCCTTAGTATGCTAGTTAGACACGGATATTACAAATTTCATGAATAATAATGTTATATTTATTTATATTTATACATTAACGAGAGACAGTCGCTGTATCCTATTCATATACCTCGTCTGTGCCATTAATTTGTCAAACAAGAATTTTTATCAATGGCTTAAATTGGGTGATCAAATTTATCATATACATACAATACCTATTCATGTACATACCTCGTTTGTGAAAATGTGTATCAAATATTTTTTCGCAAACTACCAAACGGAAGACTCCGATAGATGGCTGCACTTCCTGCATCCATGTAGCGACCTCTACTTCGAAGAATTTAGATCAACGACATCGTTGTTCCGTCGAGATGTGTATTTAATATTAACAATATTTAAAAATAGCTATTAATTTTATTATCACCATGGAAATGTTTACTGACACTTATATATATTGTAGTCATAGTAGAAATTCTTCATTCGTTATTTAATTTTCATTTTTAGAAATTATTCGTTATTTAACTTCCATTATGTAATCTTCATTAAATTATTAGTAATTGTATATTTTGTGATATTGATAATATTTTTATATAAATAACTAAAATTAATTACGGAGTTCTTATTTATTTGTAGTATTGTGATATAAATATAAATTATCATAATCATTACATCCGTGTGGCGTCGCGCGTATTTTTAAAAGCGAGCTTAACAACGGCGACGCTGATTTAAAATGAAGAAGAAAATAAGATAGTAGAAAATATTTTCTATTCTCAGTTGTTAGTAATCTGTCAAAGCAAATGGTCGTTGTAAAATGTTGTTATACATTAATATTAATAAATAGATATTGTAATAGTTTCTTGTTAAATCTCGCAATTTATTTAAGGAGTAATCCTCCTTATCCGTGTAGCGGCGCACTCAATTCTTTTTTACCGACTGAACAAACGATGACGTTATCACAGACGAGGCCACACAGGTATATCTCGTATCTCATATACACAGTATGTCTCATCTGCATTATATATCTCGTCTTTAGAATTATAAATTTTGTATCATTTTATGGTAATAAAGTTAATCTTGTTTCCCCTAAATGTACTATGTGTTTTTATTTAGATCTCCTGATTCTATTTATTGATCATAAGTGTAGTTTAAATTCTTGTATAAGGTGTCCCGTAACTCGTGATCAACCGACTAAGAGGTGATTCTACATGTAAAAATGTATCAAAAAGAAAAAAGAAAATTTGTTCATCAAAGCCTTCGTTTTAGAGAAAATCAAGTTTGAAAATTTATCTATACACTTCAATTTGGCTAATTCTGTATTGAAATAGGCGCGTAGAATCGCGAAACACCTTGTGTACATATCACGCAATGCATTCACAGTAGCGCTGAATCGCAGTTGAGCAGCAACTGCGCGACGGAAGAGGGTAATAAAGGGTGGAAGATGTTGCGCTCTATTGTGTTTTCGCGTAAGTCTATTACAAGTAATTTCAAACCATTTTTAATTGTTATGATTAAATAAACTGACATCAAACGCATAATAAAGGAATTTTTCTGTATTTGAAGAAAATTCTGTTATGAACGTATAAATGCTTTATACGTATTTATTTGTAGTTAATGTATATCCCATTCTCTCTAATAGTTTGTATTGCATAAGATGCAGCGATTTCAACTAAATTATTTGTTTGCACTGAGACATAGATTGCATTCCCAAATTCTATTGCAACATGTTTCTTAACCTCACGCATTAGAGAAAATCTTTAATGATGCTGATGGTAATGACTTTTGTTTAGCTTTTATAAAATTTGTGAGAAGCAAATATTAACAAAACGCAAATTAAATTTAGAAAATTAACTTAAATAAATGATATATTTGTTTCAGCCTCTGTTACTCAGGGCCTGACATCCTTGATACGTAATAACATTGCTTTATCAGGATGTCCTGGATCTTTAGTCTCCCAGGCCAAACACATGGCCACAGACGCAGTATCACAGCAAAGTGGAGCTTCTTTGCCAGGAAAAGCAGAAAGACAGCCCTACAGTCCATTTCAAGATAGCAGCAATTTGGCTGAATATGCAATAGCACGATTAGACGATCTCGTAAATTGGGGTCGTAAAGGATCAATGTGGCCACTGACGTTTGGTCTAGCATGTTGTGCTGTTGAAATGATGCACATTGCTGCCCCAAGATATGATATGGACAGATACGGAGTTGTCTTTCGAGCCTCTCCAAGGCAAGTTGATGTTATTATCGTTGCTGGTACTTTAACAAATAAAATGGCTCCTGCATTGAGAAGAATATACGATGAAATGCCTGAACCCCGATGGGTCATTTCAATGGGAAGCTGTGCCAATGGTGGTGGTTATTATCATTACAGCTATTCTGTTGTTAGAGGATGCGACAGGATTTTGCCTGTGGACATATATGTGCCAGGTAATATTTGATATAACATTAATAGAAAATTTAAATACAGTATTATTACATTATATGTTTAAACATGTTTCAGGATGTCCCCCAACAGCAGAAGCGTTAATGTTTGGTGTACTTCAGTTACAGAAAAAAGTGAAACGTATGAAAACTCTACAAATATGGTACAGAAAATAATGTAAATAAATGTGATAATTGTAGCAATTTATGTATAAATATTTAACATGAAGTTATTCTTTTAGTTATTAAAGATTGATAAATCATTGTTATTTATTATAATGGTTAATTTATTAGACAACCATGTTTTTCCTAAGATCTGTTTATTTGTATGGATTTTCATCATGTACAACCACCAAAAATACATATAAATACTACAAATAAAAAACTCAAAAGTGACAGTATTAAATCAAATAATATAATTTCCAATATTGATTACATAATTACACGAAAACGATATTTTTTTACAGGCATGTAGTTTCGTTATATTTTTTTTTTTTCTCTGTTTTACTCTTTATTATCTTCACTATTTAAAATATTTACAATATCTTAAAACAAAGCAAAGAGTTAGGCTGAACATCTTTGCCACTTAGCTTACCGCATATTAAGGCCCCTTTATTTTTTTTCCTTCCTCATATATTGCTCTACTTAATACTATTTACGATTGTGTTTATTTTCATTATACATTATATACATACATTGTTGAATAAAAACACATCAACTGATACGCACCACGCATACAATAGGTACGATATTCCTTTTGTTTCTTAAAAACATACTGCCAACCTATTGTACTTATCAACAAAATTTTCATATACAAGGGTAAACGTTTATGAACATACTATTATTTCTGTTGTGTCCACAGCCCGAATTTTAAACGTCTACTTTGGTCATTGAAGAGCATAGTACGTTGGAAATATCAATATCTTATTCTTGTTTTCTCAATTCTCATTTTTATCAATTCTTTCTATCTTTCCTGAAATGCTTCAATTTTATTTGAATTAACTTTTATAGATGTACGGATACATCTTTGAAACATTGACACACGTATCGTATTTTTAATCCACGTTTGCCTATTTCTTTATCATAATAATTTCATCAGTCTCAGTTCAAAATCTAATTCAAAACATACTTGCCAACGTGCTATATAAACCTAAAAAATTGTATGAATTGTAAATTTAAAAAGATATGTGAATAAAGTTAATATATGACGTAAAACAATAATATTGTGTTACTCTTTTACGCTTAGGATGTCACAATTAGATAAATTACTTGTAGAGAGCAACTAAGATATGAAGAAAAATTAATTTGGCTAAAGCTATTGTTTCCCTTTGTGTGGCAAATGAAATTTTCCAAATTCTTAATTAAATTGCAACGTTATCTTTTAACGTGCTTCTTAATTTAAGCACCAACAACAAATATTTTCTGACGTTTCGTCATATCAAAATCTATCATTTTTGTACCATAAATTAAATATTTTGATGATTTTAAAATAGTCTTTGTTAAATAGTATAATAATTACAGAGAGAAATGCATTTAATTATTTTGTATTCGAGGCTATAGTATTATACTTTTCTTTGCTTTTCTGTGCAGATTTACACTTATAAGAGAAAAAAGTCTCGAGCTAATTTACAATGTACAAAATAATAAAATATATCGATATTTTATACATATTTTCATCTTTCTTATTTTCTCTGTGACATAGAAAATGACTACAATAAATTGTTTGTACAAACCTATATAAAGGGTGTTTCGTAACTTGTGGGACCCACTTCGGGAGCTGATTGTACGCCTAAAAATAATAAAAAAAAGTCATATAAATATATGTCCTATCTATCTTCATTTATGAGATGTAATGAATTTTTTGTTTTAATTACTTTTACAAAAGATGCTCGAAATAACCACCTTGCATTTGAAGACAAGCCTGCACGCATCTTGTCATTCATCTGGTTACTCTCTCTATAATTCCCAGTTTCTCGAATTTGTCGGAAGCTTTGCTCTATTCTATTTCGTAGTATTTCAGCATTTTCAATCGATGTTGCGTATACAATAGATTTTAAATGTCCCAACAAATGAAAATCCAATGGATTCAAATCCGGAGAACGAGCAGGCCATGCAATAGGACTTCCACGACCAATCCATTTATTTGCAGAGTGTTGATTTAAAAATTGCCTAGCCACTCAACTAAAATGCGGCGGAGCTCCATCATGCATAAACCGCATACGAAGTCTAATATCGACTGGAACTTCCTTTAATATTTCGTGTAAACGCGTGCTCAAAAAATCAACTTTGTGCCTGTTAGTTTCCCATCAAGAAAAAAAGGTCCAATTAAAAATTTATCAATTATTCCTGCCAATAACATGGTTTTTTTCATCGCAATTATGATTATTATGAAAATTGAATATACCATCCCTGGTAAAACTAGCTTACTAGAATTTGCTCTGTTTATAAAATTCATTATATCTCATAAACGAAGATAGATAAGACATATATTTATATGACTTTTTTTCATTATTTTTAGGCGTACAATCAGCTCCCGAAGTGGGTCCCACAAATTACGAAACACCCTGTATAATCTTCATGAAACTCTGCAAATGAAATTCTATGTGACTTTTAATTGCCTGGAAATTATAAATAATAAACGATAAGTTTGGATATCATTTAATACCCATATTGAACAATTAAATTTACTTTTTTCGATTTGTAATTAATTCATTCCTTCGCGATCCAACTGTTTTCGTTCTCTCGTTTAAAACAGTTTTGTTTAAAACAGTTTTGTTTAAAACAGTTTCTGTCGTTACCTCACATTTTATCAATTAGTCTATAATTTGATAACAAAATTATACAAATCTAACATACTGCTCCGCCAACTATTTTATACACTTCGAACATACAAGCTATCGAATGTTTGGATATTATTAAAGAATTGCTTGTGACGTCGAAGGTGGTGGATTACTCGGCAAAGCAGGCACAGGTCCATCAGTCCATTGTATAAGAGTATGTTCACCCATCTGTGTACTTTGAAAATGATCCTTCAAGAGCGTTTGTGAGAACGTACAATGCATTTGATATGCTTCACTTTCACGATTTGGATCTCCACAAAGTCTGTATAAATCTGCCAAATAAAGATCATTCGTTTGAAAGATGAACCTTCTCATGCACAAATTTATATTATATTAATATACCTTTAAGTATAGCAGTAGCCCATAATTGTACATGTACATCAGGTATCTTAGAAGCTAACTGCATCGCAGGTGTGACCATGTTCATAGATTCTCTACTATTGCCCAAAGAAAGAAATATGTGTCCAAGAAGTACAAGACTACACGACGTTAGTCTGTTTAAATCCTCAGAATTTGCCATTTTCAATGTTTCTCGGAGGTATCTCCTATAAACATATTTATACGTTTAGCTACATCTGATATTCTTTAAAAGATATCAAGTATAATAATAGTGATTAATCTGTACTTTGCTTCGTTGTATCTCGCTCCAAAAAACGCTTGAAGACCCTGAACATAATATGCCGCCGCTCTTAAAGAATGCGAATGAGATGGTAAAGATTCAGGATTTATTCGTTCCAATAAAGCACCTAAATCTGCATCTCTTTTTGTCCTAAGATATACTATTGCCAAGTTTAAATTTGCGAAAGTCCACAATTCCCTTTCTTGCGATGTCTATAAAATCATTTTTTTTTTTTATTTATCACAATACTGTTAAAGTCACATTTAATAGTATTTAATTTGTTTATTGTCCTACTCTCAAAGCAGCTGTGAACTGTGCTTCCGCAGCATCCATACAATTCATTGACATTGCATATAATCCCAATAAAGCATGTAATTGTGGTTTATGACCTTGAAGTAACCTTGGCTGCCTCCTACAAAGCTGGCAGGCTTGAGAAATTTCTGCAAGAGCTACACTTTTATTTCCCATCACTAATCGACACATTACTATATGTTCCAACAACATTAATTGAAAAACAGAAAGTATGGGCTTGTTGTCAACAACTGCAAAATATAATATAAATATTAATTTTACTACGAAGTTCTATTAAAATTATAAATGATAAACTGTTATGTTTACTTTTGAGTTTTTCAATTTGAGTTAATGCTTTGTCTGTATATTTCTGAGCTTTGTCCATATAACCAGCTTGCATTGAATGCATAACTGTTACTAAATAAACCAACACATATAAATGATCCTTTGGCATCCATATAAACATATCTCCGATATTAGAACCTGTAACTACTTCGTCTGCTGGCCAGCTGGGAGACATTATAGTCTGTATACTTTGTTGCAATTGTTTTAAACAAGGTTTCACACTTTTAACCTATTAACGAAAGTATAAATATGAATATAACAGTTAACACCAATTCGTCGAATAAAAAACACTATTTGGTGCTGCTTACTTGTCCCGCCATTAAATAATGACAGACTTGAAGTACCAAAAAATATACTTTTAAATATTCTTTTTGATGTGGACTACCCTGCCAATTTTCAACATGATGCCCAGCTGTATTTAAAAGAGGATGAACTTCAGTAAATTTTTTATCTATCAATAAAAGCATACATCGGCTCAGTAAGAATAGAACTCTTGTATAACTTGCATTGCTGATATGGGAATAATCAACACCTACTGCAAGTAAACTACTAGCTGCAACAAAATCTTTTTCGGACGCATGTATTTGCTGAAACACAAGGATTATTATATTAAAGAGTTAATGTTAATTAAAGTGAGTAGTAACTTACTGCAAGCTGGAAAATAAGTCTACAATGCCAATATACATTGTGTTGTGAAAGTTCTATGGCTTTCCGTAATATAGGTTTACTAAGATTTGATTGCTGTTGTTGTTCGTACAATTCTGCAACCACACTTGCTGCTTCAAATTTAACATCATCAAAAGTATTTATATTCTGACTCAATCGCCACTGAAACACAATATCGTACAATTAATCAATCAATAAATATAAGCACTTACGATATAATGTATCTATCAATTTTCAATTTTCAACAATCTTATGTATGTTACATTACCGACTGTACCCAAATAAAAAGAAAGGTTAGAATCAGAATAAACAGATGTGTTGGAATTTCGACGGCGTGCGCCAGAGATATAAAGGTCGAAGCCGTAAAGGAAGCTTGAATGTAATTAATTCGAAATGCAAATAATAGCTGAACTGACCGCTTGCTCCAAATGAGATCGCGCCAAATCGATGTTTTTCGTATGCGTAAGTAGGATGTTACCAAGTTGAAGGTGGGTGCGTGCCTCGACCCTTGGAGGCGGCTTAAAATTGAAAACCGCTTGCAAACACTGTATGCACGACTTAATGTTCGGTGGACTCGAGGTTCGAAAGTTTTCTGCTAGTCCTAACAGCGATAGATACCAAGCGTCCTGTGAAGACGCCATTTTGACATTTCACGAGCAAAATCTCCAGCCGTGATAAGACACGGTCACTGTTTGCGCACTCAAAGATCCAATAACACTCGCAACGAAACCTGGATCGTCGTCCCAAACTGTAATATCACGAACACGACTCAATTTGCAACTAACGCGGTGTCCCGTCAGATACGTTTCCCCTGGAAACCGCTTATTGCGTAATGTTTACATACATATGTAACAAGACGTTTCCTCTACATTATTGTCTCACATTGTTTGTACGTGCTACCAAGAATCCTCGTTTCCCGGCACGGGTAATTCGTATCTCGATAACACGCGTCTAAATGTACATCAACATTATGCATTTTAAAAATTTTTATGTACAACGCTGATGAATTACATATCATATCATATCTCCGTTAGATTTGGAACGTAACTAAATAGTCTAGGGAATTATCGGTTCTCTAACCTCAAAGTGACGGTTTCCAATTACTAACTAGATTGCGTTCACTTGAGCCACATAAAAACAAACTGAACGACTCCTGAAATTAATATGTAATTTGGTGTCTGTAGAATCGAGTGTTAATTGTTGTAATTTTGGTAATGAAACTGTGGAAATTTCATAAACGGACTCGATCACCGAGTTGAATTTTAGAAAATGATAAAACTTGGATTAAAATATATTGTATCTTCTAAATTTAATGATGCGTATTTGATATTCGTGCTTGACATAAATATGCACATAAATCTATCTGCAATCTATATAAGACAATAGATAATAGATTATACATGATAATTTTAAATTATATTTCTTGTTAAATAAATAGGGAATATAAGTATATAGTGTAATGTAAATTATCGTGTGACGATTTTGTTTAATTTTGTTCGTTTTCAAGTTAATATTTCACAGAATTATTATTTTATATATAAACTTTGATATAGACAAGAATATAGTTACAAATAAATAAAATTCTGAACTTTTTTAAATTCATATATATTTTCCAGTGGAGTCCTGAAGAATATTTCCTAGGGAATAAAAATATTATAGGAATGGTACGCATGACATGCAACACAACGCGGTTTTCCTTCATTCAATTCAAATATATTTTCTTATCCATGTCACATATTATTGATTTACGTTTCACATACAATCCCAAATTCATAATATTTGATTATATTATAAAAAGAAAAATTTTATACTTTGCAAATTAATTTCCAAAGCTTTTGCGCGTGAAATATACATTGCACACAAATATTTTTTGGTCTTGAACTAATATTACTATTTTTAATTAATTTTAAATTTATAAGTTCTGAATATCAATAAATATTTTTGTAAGATAGTAAGAAGTTTGGCAGTAAAAAAAAAAATAAAATTTTTTACTTAATTATAATTTAAAACCGATATATATGCAAGTAACACGTAACTAAAACACCACAAATAATAATTACAAAAAGATAATAAAAAATATCCAATTATTATTCAAAGCGTCATATGCAAACGTTACAAGAAACGTAGATCAAAATGTAAAAACCGGAACAAGCCATCTTTCATTGTGGAAATAAGTGTTAACCCTTTGCAATTGGGGATTATTTTCACATTTTACAATTTATCATTTTTACGTAAATTCGTTTTGAAGAAAATTTGTAAAATTTAGACACCTTATAATTTTCTACAGTGCAAATACTGTTTGATGCAGTGTCCGAGTTACCGAAATAAAACTTCCGAATGCCAAAAAAGTTAACAAAAAGAAAAAAGAAAAAAAAATTAATAAAATCACCGATCTATTTAATTTGGCTTGCAGGAAGGAAATTTGAACGCGAGTTCAAGCGCCGATTAATCGCGAGCTATGATTCAAACTCGGATCTATCTCGTGTCGCATTCGTGCTGCAACGTAGGATATCCCCTCCAAGAGGCAAATACACTGGAGAAGTCAAACTGTCGGTGCGCTTCTCTGCCACCTGACCACCAGTTGCGATTTCAAATTATCCAGAACAAGGTGCGAGCTTTTTTTTTTTTTTGTTACGTGTGTTCCCATGACTGCGTAATGTGTTCTCGCGGTGCATTGCTGCTTCTTTGTTGCTTGTTCCTGACGCTGGCCGGTCACCGTTGCGAAGAAAATTTCAAAGCCGTCACGGAGGAGAACGCGCTAGCAAAATTGGTCAAAATGTTCTCCAAACCTGGAGCGTTCAAACGAGTGAGCTCTCAATATCATAACTTCAACAGCAAAATAATTTACGCGAAATAATGCAATTACTGCGGTAATTAAACCACGGACTTTTATACATTCATTTTTTTATATATTTATTAGAATATTTATTAGAATGTACTTATTTATTAGAAGTTTGTATGTGCATGATGTAAAATTTAATATAAAAATTAGAAAAACATCCGAAGTGAAATGGAAATTTGTTATGAAATTTAATGAAGTAAATATGTTTATATCATATTTACTATTTAATAAAGTAAATCCATGTTCATTTTTTTAGCTACGTTAATAAATACTTGAAGTTGCATAAAAATCCGCAGTCCATGACTTCTTTACATCATACATCACTTTTTTTCGAAAAATTGAACGAACTTTCGTATAACAGACGCAACGATGTCGTTTGTCAGTTCTCCTCCTTCGATATATGCGAAATGCAAAGATTCAGATTCGAAAATTTTGATCGTCGAGTGTTTTTTTGAATCAGTTTTCATACTTGTACTGCGCCTGCCAAAAATACGCATGCGCGTTTAAAATAAATGCGCGAAGGACGAGGTTGCATCCGTTGATAAAATTACCATCGCTTCTCGATATTTTCCATTGCGTAACGAAAATTGTAATCGAAGACCATCTACTCATTTTGTACAGTTATACGTTTTTCAACAAACCACAATAATGTAATCTTCTACAAAGATACCATATGCATATCAACAGACAAATCTTGTTCTAAAAAATTTTCTACCTCTTTCTTTTTTTACCGATCATCGAAATATTATTTGTTTTTTTTTTTTTTTTGTTTAATTAAAACTAACGTTTAAAAAAAGAACAAATAATATTTCAATAACATAAAATTAGATTGTCAAGTTTTAAAAGTACATGCAGTATTAAGTAAATAACTACATGCAACTTTTGAGGAAAATTTCGAGAAGACGTTGCACGTGTATTGCTCGTTCCACAGATATAACGAAATTGTGTGTAATTGATTTTCAGATTAATGCGATATTCGGTGAAAATTCGATCGAGGAGTCGTCTTGCCCAAAAGGCGAGGAGGGCCTCGAATGCAGAAGAGCCGAGGCCAGACGTTCCGTTGACTGTCCCGAAGGTAATCGACCAGAGAATTCCAAAATAAGGACATACAGTGGCACACGTATGCCACGTGTGTGACATAAAACGTTTTCTTAATTTTCAGCACCGTAAACCACGAAAAGTCGTCCTGATGATATCGTTTGAGATATTTGAGATACATAATATTTATATTTGAGATACATAATAACTGTTAAGGTTGCTCCGTTTGAATTGGCTGTGCTTACGTGTGATCTCTATTTTATTATTTATCTCATTACAACGACAATGAAATTTCAAAGTGTGTAGAATATATGTACATTCACAAAGGATTTCTAGAACTATCTCTCGAGCCATTGTACAGACACGCGTATAAAATCAGTGCATAAATACATCTTTGCATTCCAGCGGGACAGTCGTAATCGCTGTTACGGAAAAACATACCACTATCCGCGATGTACAATAAAAGATTCTGACCTTGACATAGCCACTCCCAGGCATTGTTTGCCTACGTTAAATGCACGCGAACGCGCGAGAGCGTTAATCTGCGAATTAGATCCGACGAATTGCTCGAGCGTTGTTTCTCAATTTGTCTCTCTGTTCTCTTCCTTTTTTCGTATTCAATCGTATTTATCGTGGCGCAATAAATCACTTTCCCGTGTGCCAATGATGTACCAGTTGAGAAACATTCCTGCTTTTACTTTGGAAACGCGAGTCTGCATACATACGTATGTAGGCTGTGCCAATTGGAGGATCACACGGGTAAACGAAGAAACTACGAGTATGAAAACTAAAGAGGGGGAAAAAATAAAAAAATAAAAAATAAAAAATAAACTGTGACTGATGAAAATGGGGATAAATGTTGTTGGAACATTCTGGTATCGTGCAATTATGTGCATTTTTAGGCGTAAATCACGTTATTTCTGTGTAATTAGACATAATTCCCCTTGTAAAAGTATTCCACTAACTGATCCATTAATTATTTTAAGCAATGTAACATTAACCCTTCGCGGTTGAAGGCTTGAATACCGGACTGGCAGCACACTTTCACTAACAACGACTTCAACATCAGCTTGTACGCTTTACTTCGCAGGATTTCATTAAAAATAACCGGAGCACGTATCACCGTATTACCTCCAGAGACACGCATATTGTTCGCACATTATCATTGCTCAAGAATATTCACTTGCAAATCGTACCGAACGCCATTGGATCGCCGGGAATCAAATAGAAAGCGATTGAAATTCAATGAAATTTATCGAAACGTAATAAGTCACTTTTCCCTCCCCCCCGAGTGATATTTACATACTTTGGAAACGTTTTCTACTCTTGCATTAAAGATGCAGGCATAAGGTTAATCCTTGCGACGAGGAACTCTCGAAGATGCATTTACTTTCACTCGTCGCCATAAAGTTACTTCGCTTACACTTGAAATGAATGGGTTTTTCTATAAACCAAAAGTTATTGATCATTTTATAGAAATTATAATAATCAGCATCTAACGCGAGATTAATTAAAAAACTATATATATTAACATAATATAGCTCCTTTAAACAACACAATTTTTTTCTGCAGAATGATTTCCATAGAATTTCATCCGAAATGTAGATATTTCTGTAAATTCATAATATTCAAATCTGTCAGAGACAATCGTTTTATAGAAATTATAATAATCAGCATCTAACGCGAGATTAATTAAAAAACTATGTATATTAACATAATATAGCTCCTTTAAACAACACAATTTTTTTCTGCAGAATGATTTTCATAGAATTTCGTCCGAAATGTAGATATTTCTGTAAATTCATAATATTCAAATCTGTCAGAGACAATC